GGCGGCGGGCGGGAGGCCTGCTGCCCGGCTCTGCCTGGGCAGGTTTCCTGAGGAAACGGGGTTTGTGAGCACACGGTACTGCTTATAATTACTGGGGCCTTGCTGTTGGGGCTTCTCCCACCACGTTTCAGGTGCCGTGACCTGGTACCGCTCTGCCTTTCGTCACATCCGGCTCTTCCTGCTCTGATCCAGTCCAGGGATAAACACTCTCCCCTGCTGCTCCATTGCACAACAATTGCTGATTTGCATTTGCACCTGGCGTAGTGGCAATACATCAAAAAAAGTGTGCCAGATATTGCCATATTGTTAAATGCTTTGGTAAGGGAGTTAGCCAGGTTGGGAGTGGGGCTGGGGTCTTTCCGGTGCCCCTCTCCCCGTCTCTGGGGCAGCACAGAGGCAGGGTGCTGGATGCCGGGAGGTCAGAGCAGGCCCAGTGAGTGGGGGCCAGGCTACGGCACAGAGCAGAGCAGAACGGAGCACGGGACTGGCACGGTGAACGCTGCAGTACCACACTTGGGTCAGGACTGAAGCTGCCGGCAGCACTTGGTGTTACACATGGACTCACATCAGTATTGCCATTCATTATATCCACATCAGAAAGTCTCAGTTTCTAAAAACCTGAATCTCTTTCTGTGGTTGAGGTCAGTGCCTGAATTCCCACTGACTGAATCACAAACCGGATTCCACCTTTAAAGCATCAAATAAGCCAATTGCTCTGTCTTGGTTGGTTTTTTTCAGATGCCCGTACTCAGCGTGAATATGATGAGAGCCATATTATTACAGCACGCCGGATTGAACAGGTGAGGGGATTATCGTTGGTGTAAACCTTCCCTGGATTTAGCAATTAGCAGTGAGCCGCAATTGGTTTAAAACCCAAGGGAATTGTCCCAGCCTCCCCTGCCTGTTCCCTTTCTGCCACTGGGGGGATGTATTCTGTCACAAAGCAAAGGTGGCTTCAGCAGTGGCACATAGGAGCCGTATATCAGGAAAAATATTGCACAAGAACTGACATATTGTAGACTTGTCTCACAAAGGACAGTGTTGGCACCTTTACTGCTGTGGCTGATGAAGCAACCCGGTGTAGTTTGTGTCATTTCTGAATTAACTGGGCCTTCAGAGTCAAGTACAGACGTAGTCCCAAACCCATCCCATAGCTATAGAGTAGTAACTTGCAAGATATCGGTAGCGTCAATTCTACACAAGAAAAGTGTGGAGCTGTGCTCCTGATAGGATTCCTCTGTGATTTTGGTAGAGTCCTACGGGGGAGTATCTTGTACCGGATTCTGAGGAGTTGGGGTGTGTCAGATACTGTGTGGTGTATGACTGCGAGACCAGCTCTTTGGACTGTGACTATGAGGAAGAGGAGAAAGAAAAAGGTACTTGTGACCGACCCATGTCAGTCAAGACCTCACTGCAGGACAGATATTGTTCCTGTTCCTCATTTAATCTTACGAGTTTATTGCAAGAGATGCAGATTTACCCAATTTTATTTGAAAAACTAACATCTGTGCTATGCCTCTGGTTTTTCGCTGTGTTGCATATGTTATTAAGCTTCAAAAATCCAGATTTTATTTCAAAGCTTCCTGGCAAATCTTGTTCCCTATCTGTGGATTGATCCTTCCAAAGTTCCTTGTCGCATGTGAGGAATGGATTTATATTTTTTTAATTTTATTTTTTTCACATTTCACTGAGATTGGGCTTGTCCAATGATTGCCTTTTAGGGAGCACTGCTTCTTCAGAGATTGAAAACACTGACTCAAATTCCATATGTTCACAGAGTGAGTACTTCCTTCTTTGAGGGTTATAAAAGGCTTTCACATTGTCATATTTAAAAAGACTTAGCTTTAGTGGAGGTGGTGATTTGATGGAGTTCACCGAGAAATTTGAAGAGCTGGAAATTTTTCCATGTAATTGTTCAGTCTTCCTTGAACCATGGAAATGTTTAGCTTTCACGCATCCTTTGGCAAGGAGTTCTGCTGTGTGCAGAACCACCTCTGTATGTTTGTTTGGTTCCTATTAGCTTTATAAAGGCTACTATAGTTTAACCAAAGATTTACATCATTTTTTAAAGAAAATAAACTGTGACCGTAAGGGGAATGAAAAAGCATGTTCATAAATGCTCGGTGGTGAGATATTAGCAAGGGAAGGTGTGAAGAATTAGAAGCAGGTTTCTATTGTGCTGCTGTTTCTAATGCAGACACAGCTAGAGGCGAGCAGGATGAATCCCTTGGGAGAAGCAGGGGGAATAGCCATCGCACATAATTTGCTTCACTGAGGGTAGTGTTTAAAACACTTGTGAAGAATTTATTCAAGATACCTCCCTCTTTGCCTAAAGCAGACTAAAGAAAAGGGCCTCCATAAACCCAAGATTATTAGATTTAAATTAATAATACTTCCCTATTATGGGAACTTATTACAAGCATTTCCCAATGAATAATGGGGAGACCTACCTAGACCTACAAAAGAAACCAGGAGAGAAATAAAAGATCAGGACAAGAGGTGAAAAGCAGCATACCTTGTTACTGACCTGCAGCAACAGTTAAAGAACATGTCTAGCGTTTAACAAGGCTTTCTGCAGACCATTAGATGAAATGGAAAGGAGTTTGCTGTTGGTGTCAGTGGGCCAGATTTAACCCCCAGTGCTGATGGAGGGACTCTAAACCTGCCCTGCCAAACAGTTTTTTGATCTCATTAGATGCTGAGGAAGGAACTGCCATCCAATATGCCAGAAGCTTCGAGCAGTTCACCCGCCATCCCGTGCTCATCCTGAGGGGAGGATACAAGCGTTTTTCAGCTTGCTATCATTTTCTGAGGACTCAGAAGATATTGTGGATGCCTCAGGTGAGATGACACTAATTTGCAAGTAGAAGACATTAGCATTCCTGTTCAACTGATGATGGCTAATGAATTCAAGTTAAATGGTGGTGTAAACCTGGTATCAGAGTAATTTCAAACAAATGTAATTTGAATTACTCTCCTTGCCCTGAGTGTCACCACTAATTCTTTTACAGCCACACTTTGCCTTTTTTATCCTTCCTCTATTGCGTGAAAGAAAGCTCATGAAAACAACCTGGGAAGGTTTCTCTGATAACCCCGAAACTGGCCTACAGGAGAGTACAGATAACTAAACAAACAGTAGCAAATGATGAAAAGAAGCAGGTTCCTCTCTTGCACGTGGTTATCTGGGATGTTACACACTAAATGTTTTCAGGCAGAAGTACAATTCCTATCAAGCAGTGTTCCATGTCTATAAAGCTTTTCATTAGGAAGGATCACAAAGCAAGTGCTGGTGCATTGTTTCAACAGGCCCAGAAAGAAAACAGCCATCCACTGGAACACTGGTATCCTAATTGTTTGGTTTCACCTACAAACAATGATCTATTTAGCTTATGAGAAACAATTACCCTTTTTTCACATCCAGGACAGGACCTGAGGCAGGGCGGATTTAGAAGGAGCTGGACAGCAGACAGCATCTCATTGCAACATGTCTTTTGTTTCCGTTGTTCCCGTTCACTTCTAGTTCACATGAAATAGCCCGTGACGCGGTGCTAACCTGTGGGATGCTGCAGTGCAGGAGAGGAAATCAATTCACTTTGTGCTTCTTTGTGAAGGGCAGCAAACTACTGAACTTCCCCATCAGATTCAATCAGACCCAGAGTCCCTCCTTGCCTCTCAGTTTAAGCCGCTGTTCTCTGTTGCTTTAAACTGTCAGGCTGCTGCTTTGTTCTGCTGCAGCATTAGCCCAGTATCAGTTAGGGATGTAAAGGAACTGTTGGCTATTTGTGTATTTTTATTCTCAGACACCGGAAGCAGCTGCGGACTCGTGTTGTGTCACTGTGGGGCACCTGCGGCTCTGCAGGTGGCAGATGATTTCATTTAGCCCTGCAAACAGTTACTGGGAAAAACATCAAATGAATCCGTTATGCTGCAGCCCCTCCAGACAACGTAAAGAATATATGCTGCCTCCTGTTTAGTTAGGATTTGTTTCAAGTAATGCCACAATGACAGCAACGCTGTTAATTATTCTCACTGAATCTAGGAAAGACTTCAATATACAGAAAGTCCAGGTGATTAAATGAATCATTACACAAGAATGTGTCATGGGCTGTTGATTAAGTGTGTGTTCAATTCTTCTCATGACTTCTTGTTTAAGAACTTACCAAGCTAAGAGGAGCAAATACACTCTAAACTGAGCCTATGGTTTCTCTCCAGCAGGAACTAGACAACTTCCAGCCATACCCAGTAGAAATACTGCCTGCAAAGTTATATATGGGCAATTTCAAGCAGGCCTGTGACCAACAAATTCAGAAAGATCTGAAGATCAAAGCACAAGTTAACATCTCTGAACAGCCTGCCACACTGTAAGTTAAATAGTTCGAGGTGTACCCTTGCCAATGTTTGTGTCTGAAAAAAGTGAGGTGGCACAGCACCAGAACCCATTTGCAGAGGAGTCGGTGCCTGTGAACGTCCAAGGCAACCTCTGGTTGGAGGAAAACTGCAGATTTGAGTGCTATTTCATGCTCATTTTTTTGATCTCTACTCCAGAGTTGGCACAGCAGCAACACAGTCCACAGCCCTCTACCATGACACGTGTGGCTTAGGTGAGAGGAGGACTGGGAGGCCCTTGGCATTTTGAGTCTATCACATACCACTATCTTTTGAAAAGGACCTACATCTCTGACTAGCTCTCAGAGCAAAATCTTGCAAACACATCAGTGTAAAAGCTAAATCACCTCAGTTTCACATTGTTGGTCTTCCTTCCTTCCTGCTCTGTCCATGCCATTGTGCTCAGTCTGTAGGCCGTGCTGGAAATGCCATTTCACACAGTGAAAAATCCAGTGGCATTTCTCACGGTGGTGACGAAAGCAAAGTAACAAATCCAGTTACCTACCCCAGTGCATGTGTACCAGCAGACATTTCTCATGCCTTTGGCTCCAGAGGAAAACATCAAAGGTCCCTACACCATGGGTAATCTTCCCATGCCCTCTGCATGATGTGCCTTCACATTCCAGAAACTCCTCACCAACATTTTGCTCCACTAGTTCTCTGAGTTGAGTTCTCTGAGCTTGTGGAAGGAGGAGGATGCTGTTGTAGAAAACCACATGAAGTCAGCTGGGGGGCTTTGTTCACAAAACTGCCAATGCGCAGGCCATGAAGGTACTCTTGCTTTAAGTTCATCTGTTTTCATTACCTCACGGATAAAGGAAGCTGTAGGTTAAGTTAAGACATCAATGCTGACACCATGTGGAATGGAAAATCAGAAATTAAACTGGTTCTGTTTTACAATCACCTCAGTGCCTTACCATAACAAATCCCTTATTATAGTGTTAATGATGACGATGATGAAAAACTCACACATGTAACAGCAAACAAAATTATCAGCTTGCCTCCAACAAACATGTTTTTTCAAAGCTCCTTCTCTGGTCCAAGTCATGCTGTCTGCTCCTTTTCCAGGTTTGCAGAAGGCAGCAAATATCTCCATATATCTGTTCCAGATTCACTCAAAGCAGATCTTTTTTCTACCTTTGCCACCATTTGTCATTTCATAGGTGAGTTGTTCCTAATCTGGAATTCCTGAGAGCTTGCTCACTCTGGGATATTAGATGGGAGTGACTGCAATGCACTCCAGCAGGAAGCTTAGACAAGAGGGTCGTAATCTTTCAAGATCAGCATACTCCCAAGTAAGCCCACACCCTAATGGATACCTGATGGACAGAGGAGATTTTACAGGGCATCTGACTCAGATGTTCCTACTCACTTTAAAGAATACCTCCATCTCTGATAATAGTGAGCTTTCCACTAGATCTGAGAAGGCTTTGCTGTAGGATGTCTACCAGGGCTTCATAGGATTCCCTCCTATTCCTTTGTTCTTAAACACAACCCTTTGACTCTTACCAGCCCAAATCTTCAAACACCAGAGCTTTATTTGAACATGAGAGTGACATGCATTGCAGAACTTACCACAAGACACTGCTAATCTTTGTGATTTGCAGTGCAGACCCACCGTAGAGCTGGGGAAGACTTTCAGGTTGGACAGCATAAACCTGCCTTCGGCTGATTACATCAGAGAGGGCAAGAAAAAACATACTCTCCAGCTCAGTGCCTGCAGTAGCACAGCAGACATAGCTCCCGCAGCTCCATCCTGTGATGGTGTTCAACTGTGTTGTTATCTTTAATCACACTTATGAAGTAACACCTGTTACAGACCAAGGCCCTGCTGAGCTGAGTGTTGTACCAGATCCAGAAGCTAAAGACCACCCCATCCCCACAAACCTTATAATATAAAATAAGAAAAGACAACTGAAGACAAACAAAAAACAAGGAAACAATATTTGAGGATATAATTTTGTAGTCCTGAACTGAATTTCATGATTTGCATGCATTGAAACCCAAATACCAAAATCCACTTACTTGCCTTTTATTTTGCCCCAGGTTTTTTCCCACTAGTTCTGCAGAAGAAAACATCTTTCTCACATCAGTTTGTGGAAGTTTCCAAAACACTCTATAAGAGTTTATTAGCTGTAGCTCTTGTGGAAGTGTATACTGTTTACTTGATAGTCTAACTTTTTACTTGACTGTCTAGAGTAGATTACTTAAACTGGAACGGTTATGGGTGAACACTAGACTAAAGCTCTCCACATACTCTCAGAGTAGTTTGGATATCTTCATGCCAGGTGTATGTTGGAGTGAGGCCATTTCTACTCAGGTCTTAGAACAGAACTAGTACCTCATGACAGAAATGTCAGAAAACTCTGTTTTAGTTCCTGAAGAAGAAAACACAAAACCCCACAACCTCTTGACAGCAGTAAAAGAAGAGGCTTTGCCCTATGAATTCTAGAGTTCAGCTGCGGATATTCCAAAAGCATGTCATGCTGTCTGTTCTGGAGAGGGAAGAAAAGAATTCAAAAGGTTATTAATAAAATATAGAATCATTCAAGCATAGTTAGCAGAGTTGATGTGGTTAGGAGCAAGTGACCACATCCTCTTAAAGCCACGTGGGCTTGGCTTTTGTAGAAATTGAGTTTGCTGATCTTAGCAATTTTCACTGCACAGCATCCATCTTAAAAGCATCATAAAACCAGCACCCTAGCTGGCCTGTACATGCTTCCTGCTGGTGATCCCTATGGAGGGGTAAGGGATTTGAAATCTAAGTCCTCTCCAGTTTGAAAGCTGATTCCTCCCAGTTCAGTGTTGAACAGTTTAGGCTTGTGTTCATCAGAAATTTCCATACCTTTAAACCTTTCTGGGAGGAGTTTGAGTAGCTGATGGGATGCTGACCACAGCTGATTGGTCATGGTAGGCCACTTTTCTTCAGTTATCTGATGTAAAGGCGACACTGATCTGTCATGAAGCAGTGACTGGTCACTTGGTTCTGGTCTTCAAAGCCATGTTGTAACTCAGTGGATTTTTAAGAAAGGCAAATTCTTACAGAAACTGTAGCTGGCAGTGCCCATCTGCTGTTGTCAGGGATCATGAGGGTTCCTGTCGCTCAGGCTGCTAGCCTGTCAACTGTCACTGAATTAGAGCTTGACTGTACAATTGGAAGCTTGATTTCCCAGATCACTAATTTGTGATTGGCATTTCTTTACACAGATACTCAGCTGGACCACGGAGCGGTGCTGGTCTTCTCCAGCCTGGGGATAAGCCGGAGCAGCACAGTAACCATGGCCTATCTTATACATTCCTGCCAGTTTTCCCTGAAGGTACATCACTGTCATATTTCCCACAGATACTGGCTGAGTCTGCAGTTTATTTCTGTTTCTGAAACCTCATTACTGTAGTAATGAGAAAGACTTTATCTGTGGTTTCATGCAGACTATCCACCTGATAATGTAACGGATTCAATTATAGCAGATTGTTTCTTCTTTATACTGCTAAGGACGTGGCTTAGGTGTGATTTTGGATCTGTGACTCCTTACCCTGGCACCTGTGATATTCTTGTATTTCCCTACTTAACTACGGGGCTGTAAAAATAAAGCTATGGTTACAGAACTTAGTATTTCTGCTCTCCTGGATCTGAGAAAGAGAGTATCTGGAAGCTACTGGAGTTAATCCCATGGGGTTACAGGGAAATTCAGAACGCAGTGCTTGCAGGGCTCTGATTTACCACTGGGCTCAGCAGCACTGGCTTCTTCCAAAATCCCATTTTATTTCTCCAGAAGCAATCCTTTCCCACAGGTAGTACTGTAGAGAAATCTGGAATGGGATAATTCTAGCCCAGGAAGGATGTACAGGTTAAATAGCCAGTACACTCTGTTCCATAGCTCTGAATAACGTAAGAAAAAATAATGTGGCCTCTCCCCAGGTGCCAGGCCCCGTTTCACAGGCATCGTGCTGCTGTAGGCACTGTCTCCTGGTGCCTGCTTAGCACAGTTCTCATGGGAACTGAAAGGCGTCTCCTTAAAAATCTTGTCCTTGTTTGGAAAGTTTCCTCCTTTGGGAGCTTGAAAGGATTGATCCAAGCTTCACTGAAGCTGGGCCTGTATGTAATAATTTAATTGATTTTGTGCAAACATTTACAACATAAGAGGAAATCTACCGTTGCTGTGTGCCAACGGGTAATTTCAGGTTAGGCGTGCCAACAGGGCTGCAGACACAATTTCGTCTTTGCTACTAATGCTGCGTGTGACTGCTCCTGCACACTGATAACCATTCCCTTGCACACTAAATTACTGGAGGTGCTTGCGACGGCAGTGCAAAAGTCAAAGGCTGATCCTTGCAATTTCTCTCAGTTGGTATCAACAGGTTGGTCTCAGCATTTTACTGTGCCAAAAAAAATAAGGAGAAAATGTTGACATGGCAGTGGCGTGCTGCTGGCCTGGGCAATGCTTGCCCACTGTCGGCTGGGCAAAGCTTTCCTGGGGGATTATCCTGGCAGACAAGTTTATTTCTTGCAGACAAAAGCAGTGCAACAGATTTCCGTGTGATCCTTCACCCAATCTAGGCAAAGATCTTTGAAAGCTTCGAAAGACATGGATATTGCAAAAGAGAGGCAGATTTGGGATGTGCGACCCCTTATTCTATTAGTAAGCGATATGTGAGTAGATCTGTTGAGTTCAGGGGAACTAGAGACATCCACAACATGGGCCCAGAGGAGTAAATATTGGAAGATGAGCCTTGGAGCCTGCAGAATGACTGAGATTAGAAAAACAAACCAATGGAGCGCTATCTTCTAACCTTTGGTCTCATTACGCTTAAGCAATCGTCCAAGTGCAGGGGGCACTCTATTTTTAAAGCAGGAAGATGAGCACTACTGGGCAAACCCAAGGATGCAGCTGGAGTAATGCAAAGTAATGCTGGTGGATCTACCCTGTGTGCAGCAGAGTTCCTCACTGGTTACTTGGAAATAATTAATAATTAAGATGGCTGTAATTAATGCGGTGGGATAACTGGAGTGTCATAGCTGCTCTGCCATATCAGGTCACACCAATCCAGAAACACGATAACCTTTGTTGCTTACCTGTGAATAGCCGATACTTCACTGCTTCGCTTATCATCCATGGCAGAAACAGTATTTTAGGGTAGAATATCCAGGACTGCATTGCTCCATTGGTGCAAAATAACGCAAGAGACCTGCCAGGCAGTGAAAGCAGCCTGAGCTGTCCTCCTATTCAGGAGAGCAGAGTATGAAGGTGACACCTTCTCTGAAGTTCACATCTGGGTCCAGTCTGTCCCTGCTTTGGTAGCCAAAGTCTTATTTGCACGTTCTTGCTGTGCAACACAGGGCGTAAATACAAAGTGTGTTGTCTACAAGTGTAGCTGCTTCGTGTAAATACCCGAGAGTCGCTTTCAGTTCAAATTCCTAACACTTCTTTGCTTTCCCTCTGTTTACAGAGAGCTTGGCACTATGTTCTGAAATGCAAAACGAACATGAGACCACACCGGGGCTTTGTGAAACAGCTCTCAGACTGGGAGACCCAAATCTATGGGACCACGATCACAGACATCTCTGAACCAAATTACTGACAGGTAGCAAAGAGAACACCCAGCAGGGGAAGGCACTTCCCTGTCTGTACCACCATGTCGGTAAAAAGTTACTTGAACTCTGGTTGAAAAATGTCTTAACCTAATGGAAAGGCTTTCATCTTTAGCTCCATATTATTTGGGGTCAAGTTTTGGAGCCATTAGGGGATCTCACCTGTGCTGTAGAAAGTGGCAGTTTGGGGAAAGCAGGTCCTGCGGGATGTGGCCCATGACACACTGCTCGTCTCTTTTGTAAGCGAAGAGAATTATAACTACGTTATCGGGCATACTCCTTACCCCAGGTATGGGGAAGTCATTAGGGTTACCTCTGAAAAGGTTCATCGATCCATAGCCTGGGATGGTAAATTGAGAGTCTGACTGCACCCACGTGCAGCCCGGAGAGGTGACGACAGAATTTCCTCATTTCAGAAGTCCCTCCGCTCTGCGTGTGCCTTCTCAGCTACCCACAGACACGGACACGGCCTCTCGCAGCCTCGCTGGTTGGATTTTCTAGCAAGACCACGCTTCCCACGCGCCACCTGCTCGCACAACACCCAAACCTCTTGGCACGGCTGGTAACGTTAACCATCAATCCTGTTGCGTGACACCTAAACGCAGTACTATCCTCTCTCTTACCGCATTGTGAATTCTTTGTGTTGACATCACAAAATAAAGCATTATAGAAAACGCTCCTGGGCTCTCCATGCACTCTGTGCTAAGGATTTACCGGGGATTTTCACTTTAGACCATCCCCCTCGGTTTGTAATTCAAACAAGCGCGCTCAGGGACGGAGCTAGCCAGCCTTTACCCTTCAAGCTTCAAAGAGCCTTGTGCGCCCGGGAAAGGTCTGTGAGTTTTATTTTCTTGTTTTTAATCCCTCCTTATTCCAGGATACCGTTTACAAGGAAAACCGGA